ATCTAATTTCTCCTTACAATGTCTCCCCTGAATCACGCGCTAAGGTTATGAGAAGAATGGAAATGATCAAAATCTACAGAAGCTGTGGACCTTTAAGCTAATTCTCCTCGTCAACACCTTAGGAAATGTCAAGAGAACAGTATGGAGAATATAAACACTGATCTTAGGGTGTCAGAGTCATAGTCTGCTCTGGGAAAAATATTATCGTTTTGGGAAAGATCTTTTTGTACTGGGATTGATATTATTTTACTGGACTAATTATTTTGGTATACGCCACAAAGGAACCAAAAAAAATCAGTTTATTTCTGTCAATATACCATAAAACGGTCGGAAATAAATTGTCGACGCGCGATTTTGTCCCTTCGGCTGCTGGGAGGTGAGTAGTTCCTACTTGACAAGAGATTATAATTTCTTGTGCTTGCTGATTCTTTCCGTGCCAGCCCATCGGTGAGTGCGAAAAGTATTATTCACCTGTGTGGTACGTTTTAAATATTTTTGTGCAGGGAAAATAATTTTTGTAATGAAATTAACCGATTTTTGAGCAGAAATAGCAACTTTTTGATCTGATTACGTATTTTGTATTGCGTAGATTTGACAACACTTTTCACAAAAATTCCTCTGAAAAAGTATCAGTTGATGATCGATCTTTCCTCTCTTTGTTGCGGAAGGAAATCAAATTGTAGTTCCTATCCAGGTGGAATCCGGATTCACAGCAACGCGAGATAAACTACGTAGCCACTGTCACTCATACGACGCGTAGTTTTAATAGGAAGATCAAATAGAAATCGATTTCTTTAATTTAAGTAGAACAAAACTTTACAGATCTCAACCGGCAATTTCTCATTATTAGGAGAAAGATGTTAGGAAGTAGGTTCTCGAGAAAAAATCTTCATCGGGATGGGAATTTTTTAAAATTTTTTTTTTTTTGATAGATACCTGTATATTGGAGTAAACAATAATGCTAAAATAGATATATTTGTGTTGGAATAAATATTTCTGTACTGGGCCACTGCATAGGAGTGATGTAGATGAGATAAGCTTCTGTTAGTTGTTTAGTTTGAAAAGAGGTGGTATAGCAGGAGGAGGCTTGGGACGGGTCGTATAGACAACTCGACCAAAGCTTCCCTCCTATTTAGCCATAGTAAGACATGGTTTACAAGAAAGTCTCAATTGGGTTAACCGCTAGCTGTTAGGCGTAAAAATTGACAAATTTTAACCTTTGGTCGTAAGAAAAGATGACAAAATATATATTTTTGGTTTAATCATCAAAGGAAGGATGTTAACCGTTAACCTTTAAGTGACCCATTTGAGACCCTCATACAACTTATATCTGGGGCCAGTAAAATCTCAGGCTAACGTATGGGTGGAAGCTGTAGAAAATCTCTTTCGTTTTTCTAATTTCAAATTACAAAATTTCTCTTCCTCTCCCCCATTTATATTTTTTTTCGTATTCACGCGCGGAGCGCACGTGATTTGACACATTAGCCAATTACGTCAAAGAACTCAACACGACATTGGAAACTGACGAGGACATTTTTCGCGTACTTTTGCTATTCGTTTTTCACCGAGTTTAGCTAGTTGTTTTGGAGCTTTCGTTTGCACAAATTTTTACCGCTTTGTTTGGAATTATAAGAAGGTTTGGATTTTTTTATTTTAGTCAAATGTTGAGGTTCAATTCTCAAGTTTATGACAAATTTTTTGAGGAGTTTAGACTCGCCCTTTTTTGCAATTAATTTTTTACAATAGTGTTTAATCAACCATTCTCTTTCATTTCCTGATATCTTTATTTCTCGAATTTCAAAGCTATTAATCGAACGATCTTGAACGAAAACAGGTTCCTCAATCAGACTTCAAGAAGAGGGGCAAAAAAATAATGCGAGAAATAAATCTAACAGTTTTTAAAGATATGTCCATGCTCCGTTTCACTGTAGGCATCATTTTCTATGGAACACCTTTATGCTCCTGGATTCTTCTCCTTTTTGGATTCTTCGCGCCCCTGGTATCCAAGGATTTATAATATTCTCAATATTAAAGTTAACATTTTTCAAAAGAGTTTTTTCTTTCACCGACATCCAAATCCACTTTGTAGTGAAACATATGGTCGTGAATCGTCCCTGCGAGGCCTTTATGTATCTTTGTGCCATAGGGGCTCTCGTGAGATGTCCAAAAAATTGGCTTGAACGTAACCGCTAGTGGAAACGTGGGCTTGTATAACCCCATTTGGATAGAACAAATAGTCGTTAATGTAGTCGTAGTTAAATGTAGTTGAAATTGTTCGCAGAACCAGAACGTTTCCCGGCATTCCACCATAAAAATTAAAGCCATCTCCGTAGTCAATATGCCTGCGTAATGGAACCCCAAGGTCAAGTTCAAAAAGGCACAATCCCCCCTGAAACCTAACCGGGTCATTGCTGTTAACGAAATGAATAGCGTCCATGAAAGTGGCCGTGATTGGGCAATCAATGTCCGGGACGAGCTCAGACTTGCTGCTTCCCATACCAAACGCGGCATCGAGCTAGTTCAAAGACATTTGCATGCGCGTCCAACCTGAGTAAAAAGCCGCAGCTTCCTGCAAACTGAGTTCGTACACAATCCTTTGCCCATCGAAGCTTATATCAAACAGTTGTACGCCGGTAGAACTGCGCAGGCGAAAATCAAAACTCCAGTTCATGTATTCTACATGATGTCCGCTGACCGTGTATCTCTTCCCATCTGGCTCAACCAATTGAGGGGGGCGTAAAGGCTTTGAGGGATGCGAGCCCCCGCGGCGCAGATACGACGAAAAAAGGAGCTTTTCAGGTGAGTATGAAGGCGCGGGAATGAAAACCTTATACACAGAGCCATTTCTGTAAGCTACCATTAATTCTTCTACACTGTCAAATGAAGAATTAAGATAAACCACTTTTTCGACTTTCCATCTCGACACGTCACTTCCTCTAGTATCAACATATAAACTAAGGCCAACAGGATGTAAATAATTTCCTGGGAGATCGCGCTTGAAAAAGAATCATTTCTTGCGCAAACCAAATTCACCCAGGCTGCTATAATCCCAGGTCAAACAGCGATCCGTACAATTGTCGTAGGTATACCCATCAAAGCTTTCGTAGAACAAATCCCGTAGCTGCTCTGACATTTTTAAAATGAAACTCTCCGTTGCGTCGAGTTCTTTCGAGTCCTCCGGGCGTGCTTCATAGGGTATTGGATATTTGTGCCCAGGTCCTGTGGTTTTCTCGTAACGGGAAGGCTTGGCAGCGGGGGAAACCAAATATTCTCTGACTTCGGGGCTTAGTTTTCCTCCGAAAAAGACAACAGCACGAGCAACCCGTTCTGGTTTAGGGCCATTGTTGTCAAGGAATTTAATAGCCTCGTCTTTGCTTGGTTGCTGTAACTCGATCAAGTAGATGTGATTGTCGTTGATGTTTGCATCTTTGAAGGGAGTTATATTCAGAGACGTTTGGCTGAGTATAAAATCCCTCAGAAATAATTTCCTTTTCAGAGAGATCGTCGTAAAGACCAGAAGAGCGTGCAGTGGAAACTGTCAACTCCGTATTTTCTGGACAAAATTTGAGGCCACGATCGTTTGAACTGTCTTTGGCTCGCTTCGACGTTAATACCACAATTAGCGTAATAATAGGTGCCACACATAAGTGACGGAGAGAATCACAAAAAGAATCTTCAATATGGTGACTTGTCGAGTAGAATTGGCTAAGCGACTGTAAGAATCAGCCATGTTTCATTTGTAGCAATATTCGCAGACATGCACCAACAGAACAATGTAAACAGCAAATTATAGTTTGAAAACATTTAGCTCTGACTCCCAGGAGATCAATTGAATACGATAGAGCCTCATTAACTCGAGGTCTTGATGAGAAATAATTAGGGAAGTTTAGTTTGGGAATTTTAGACTTGCAGACTCAATTGTCAAATAAAATACCATTTTTCTAGAAGCCATAGCAGAGAGTAGAGATGACGATGACGACGCCTGAGCAATTCCCCGACTAGCTCAGCATCGCTGGTTGCGATGCTTTTAAAACTATTGTTTTTTTTTTTATTTCATCAAACACCTTTCCAGCAAGCTCTCTTAAGGTGAGTTTTACAAGAAGCAAGTATGCCCTCTGCTGTAAACGCTTCTCTCTTAATTTTGTTGTCTTTATTACTGCGCTATTGCCGATCTTTCCTAAAGCGAGATGGAAACTTCGTTTTTAGTTCTGTTAGGGTTGTTGTCAGCACATTTGAGATTTCTTGAAATTCTTCTTGGTGCCCTGATCCGTTCTTTAGCTTCATGAAAATATATCAACTTGTCAATTGCAAAGTGTTTTGGTCTTCTCTGTAAAGGAATTTTCGCTCGCTGTCGATGGATAATAACGAAGCTGCTACGAAAATCCAGGTGTCATCTACAGTGGCCGAGCAGGACTCACACTTGACAAAGTCATCGTTTCTCTTGCAACCATTACTTCTTGCTACACCTTACTTCTCGTTTCTCAGAATATCGTTTTGCTTATCTGACAGATCTTTTATTTCGTGTTTAACTGCCTCCACATTTTCTGTTGTTCAAGGAGATACCATTTGAATCCACCATCTTTACTGCAAAAAACAGATTCGTATTCTGCTTAACAGGAAGTAGAGGGGGGGAAGGGGAGGGAGGGAGGGTGGGTAGCGTGTGAATGAGTTGTGATAACAAAGAAACACTTTTGTTTCATATTAATTTCCTTTATTCCAAAAATCATTAACGTACATGGCTCAGCGTAAAATCTAATACAACCATTGTGAAAACAAATTAGTTTAATTGGTTGACTAAAAAATAATGTTTTTTTAAACTTATTTTAATTTTCATTATTTTCAATTTCTAAAATACTTTTATAAGAAGTGGTCGTTCAAGCGGTTAAGAAATAAATCCAATTACTAAAAGGAATTATTTTAGACTTAAGATAAGCTTACAGTTAATTCAAATGCTTCGCCGATCCAAAAACTTATTAAACTTGACTAAAAATGTTTATAAGCTGGAATAAAATGATGAAGAAGGAAACCTCTTTAACAGTTGAAAAAGAAACAAATGGACATGAAAACTAACAACAGCGCCTGCATTACACCAGGTTTAATGCCAGCGGCTGCATTAATGCCAGCGGCTGCATTAATGCCAGCGGGTCGACTGATGTCTTTCACGCCATGGCACTGATCATTTCCGGTCGCCCCAGGGTCCCGATTGTTTGCGCAGAAAGGATTGTAATCAGCGAAGCTCAAGTTCAACACTTCTCGGCCAGTATGGGAAATAGTGCAGTCAGAATGGATCAGATTCTTCAGACACTTCTTCATCTTGGCTTCCTCCCTGAAAGAATGACATTTAACAAAATCATTCTACGTATGCCTGTTTCCCTCGTTGTGCAGTTTTGGATCTGAGACTACATTGATTTCGATCTATTTTTATACAAAGCTAAGCCAACTCTGATCGGTAAAACTTGCGTCACCCTCATAACGTGACTTGCTCATTGGCGTTTTCTTGCGTTTTAGACAGTTTACTGGGTTTACATGACGTACCTTCTTAATCTGTCGGTTAATTCTATTACTACTAGCAATGATCATAATATTTCTGTTTATATTTATTATTCTTGTAATACTCAACCAAGGAGCAATTCTATTTGTCCTTATTCTCTTCCAAATTTTTTGGATTTTATTTTCATAATTATTTTTTATTTCGCGGAGCTTTAAAAATATGGTGGATTTAAATGTCTTCTAACGATCCGTTAATTCAAGGCTTTTTTAACATAGCCGGATAAAAAAAAGGGAACTGGGAATAATGGTTTGAGTCTTGTCTTAGGAAAATTTTCTACATTTTTACGCCTGTTCCCAAATTTAATGTTATTTCTCAATTTGTCGGGGGGAACATTCTCAAGACAAGAATGTAAAATTGTTCTTTGTTCCACAACCGCGCCCTAATCAATCATCTCCATCAATTTATCAGTGTTTAACAAACAAATGCAAATACATTTTGAGTAAACCCACGGCATCATGAGTCCTTTTTAATTTGTTTTAAATCACAAAGAAGCATAGTTGATAACGTTGACATCATCTATGCCTTTACACCATAAGTAGCAACCAATCAGAATGCGTGTATGATTAAGCTTATTGTATAAAAACAAATAGTCTACACAAACTCACGTGCAAAGAGAGGAACTCGATTTGTCCGCGACGAATATTTGCCGGAAGGTCCTTGTACAGGCGTTTGCTTCAGTGACGAAAGAGCTGGAACAAGGCAATGATGCCGCTGACGAGGGCGGTATTAGAGCGCGGCCTTCAGAACATTCTTTGCTCTTTAAATCCTTGTCTACAATTTTTCTGATGGTGCTGTCTGTCAGTGAGTCATCACAATACTTCACCACCTTCACCACGCAGTCTTTCATTTGGTTGAACTTAGCACTGGAATGAAAACAAGATGGCCACGAAGTTAAAGCATTTTTTAGGTGTGAGTCTATTGTAATCAATGAACAGAACAGGCGACTTGACAGATACCGCAGTATTGCGTTACAGTTGGATGACCCGTCGTTCAAAACACCTCAAAGTTTAATGAACTTACGAACAGTCTCCTTTGGGGTCCTTTTGTAGTCCTTTATAGAAAAGTGTGGCGCATTTTCGAGCAGCGCAAAAGTACTCCATGAAAGTACATTGGCCAATACTAGGTAATGCCTCATGGCTTCCAACGAGAAACGCTGTAAGAGCAATGATTGACAGAAATCAATAAATCAGTGAGCCGTTTGTTATGAGAGTGATTTTTATGAATGTAAAGTAAGTAATTAGGATGGAATGTAACGCTCTAGATTGTTATCACGCAAATATTGTAAAAGCCGGGAGCATTAAGGGGGGGAGGTGTTGGGGAACTCATCATCGAGGGAGTAGAAATCTTTGAAGCAATCCCCTGACAAAAATAGTTTATGGATCTGTTTCCCTTCCATTTGCGCCTAAACACACAAGTTTCACTTTCGGACCGGAAACTAACGCTCTTGCGGCATAAATAATTAGGAAGGAATTTAAAGTTTAGGTTTGTTATCACGCAAATATTGTGAAAGGAACTCATCCTCGAGGGAGTAGAAATCTTTGAAGCAATCCCCAAACAAAAAAAGTTCATGGATCTGTTCCTCCTCCCATTCGCGTCTAAACACACAAGTTTCACTTTCGGACCGGAAACTAACGCTCGTGCGGCATAAAATCTCTCAGACCAAATATACTGTCTCGCGTTCTTTTCACCAGCAGTTCCTTTGTCATCCTGTAAGACTTCATATGTTTCACAAAACAACTATCCTCATAAACATGCATTGTCAAAAGTCGGTCACGAACATAATGAACAATTTTGAGATTGCATTGAAGTTTAATCCGCGTGCCGAGAAATATACAGAATCCACATTAGGATGTTTGAGAAGAAGCGCGTGTTTGACTTGTATTGCACTGCCCAGCTTCCCAACTCCCCCCGCCCCTTCCTTCCTTCTTCTTTGTCCAAAACGCTTCGACGCCTCTGGGAAGTAATTTACTCGTCAATATGACGAGGAATGTGGCGGATGTTATTACCCAAGCAAGTAGTTCAAATAGTGAATATTTGCCAGTGAGCCGTAACGACGTGGACTAAATCACGCGGGTCGTTTTATGTTAACATTAGGGTCAAATTAGCAAGGTATGTTTGTAACAGTGAGTCGAAGTGAAAGATACGTAATGAAGCTGAAAACACAATTTGTTCGTGTATTAAAGCTTATTTCCTAAGGCCTCCACTTGGAAGGTTTTAGCTGGTAAGATTACTCTTTATCCGTCATTGAACAAGCATGCGGACATGGTACCGCAAGATGTTTGCGTGGACAAGGTATTGTGCAATACAGGATATTGTGCTCTACACTACGTGATCGCTTTCTGGTCCGTGATTTGTATGAGAAACGAAAGGCATCTTCGGAACAGAAAAAGACAGATAAAGAAATTTAAATTATAAATTTTTTCATTTGAACATTAGAACAAAATTGAATATACAATGCAAATTAGCTTCCTCAAACGGACTGACAATGAAATGATGATGAAATAGTCTCCTCCTGAATACATTTTTTCTATGATCCTACTCGTGCACAGGACACGTGGAAACAATAAGCATAAAATTAACATTTCGCTATCACTTCAGTCCTTCATCAGTGCACTGATTGGCTTGCTGTGATGAAGTACGATGTTTGAAACCTCGTCGGAGAATACAAAAGAAGTTCAGATCTTTATCAGTTACGCAAAACAGCTTGAAAATTACCCACTTTAATTCCGGGGTCAGTATGCGAACGCGTCTCTTCTCTTCCACGCTATACAGTCGACGTTGTATCTGTGTAGCAGCCTAAGATCGCGCTGTATCCCTTTCATCAAACGACAAGTAGCTTTGACCCTGTTGCATGTGCACTACAGAAAAGCGCTAGCTCTAGTCATCAATTTGAGAAGATTCCTGCTAGCGTTAAGGTATTTATTGCTGAGAAAGCAGAATTACAATGTTGTTCACACCCTAATCTCTCCAGTTGATTGACGAATGTTTCTCTCAACTTGTGTCGTATATCGACAAGTTTGCCAAGATGTAGGTCTGGGAAAAACACAATTAAATGACTACAACTTGAAAGAGCTAAAAGAAGTGTAGGAGAGATAATTTTCAATAATCGTTTTATTGGAGGGGAAAGACGAGTTACAAGTGCCAAATGATTACAAAGAATGTTACTGCAATGAAATCAGAGTCAATTTACTGATGGCGTCTTCCAATTAGATCCGAAACTAGGAAACCAAACTTCCCGCTTTGCAACGAAACTATGTAAAAACTAACAAAACTCCCAGGAGGAAGAAGAAAATAAGAAGACAAAGCCTCCGAGAAGGAATTAAACGAAATTGCTTCCACGTGGGAATCGACTGATTACTTTTCGCATCTAATCGTTTGATCAACTTCACGAAGTTAATTGTAGAATGTAATTAGTTTAGGTTATTACCAAAAAGTTGGAATAAGAAAGATGAACTTATCCACGGCCACGAAGAGAAACACAGTGAAGCGCGCAGAGATTTGCATCTTCGCTGCTCCTTTGCGAATGAATCGTTCGAGCGTAGCGTAGGTCATTAATTCAAACAGTTTTCGTTTGCAACCACGTTTCGCTTCCGGAGCGAAACTAACGCTGAAATTTGGCCTTATACTCTTTTCAATAATCGTTTCATTGGGATTGCGTGAGGTCAAACCAGATGGTACAAGGCTATTCCTATATTTAGTGTCATGATCTTCTCGCCAATCGTTTCATCAGGATCATTGTTGTTGAACTACTCTTTCGTAAAACAGCTGCCTTCTTATGCAACATAAAATATTGTACACAGACATATTGGACAATTTTAACGTTGCAAGGGTGTTTACTTTTGCCAAAAAAATATGCAGCAATCATTTCGGGAAGTTTGAATAGAAGAGCGTGTTTGGCTTGATGTACGATAAAAATCCTACTTTTTTCCTCCTTTCCTTCGTCGCGTTCCAAAACGCTTTCGCTGCTTCTGAGACGCAAGACCACTTAATGATATATTTTATTGACCAAGCATATGGTACAGGACATTGGCCAACGTACTCTACTTCGTGCGGATTGATCATTTTCGTGTCCGTGATTCATAGTGATATCAGCCCAGGAATATCAGAAACGAAATTTATGGTCTCTCAGACACCTCTTTTAATCAGTGAAAATTATCATTGAAGAAGTTATCTAAATTTTTATTTCCTTCCCGCCTCGATTGCTTCGCTATTTTGCGGGAGGGATATGCTTTTTACTTGCAAAAGTGATCTATTACTGAACAGACACACGGCAACTTGGAATGTATTTGTTAAATAGAAAGTAATATTACAATGCAGCCAACGCCTTCTTTTCCTCGCTCGATTCTAACTATTATCGAAGTATCTGGAACAAATGCTACTCTCGCCTTGTGTCGCTGATCGGCAAGTACGCTAAGATGCAGGTCTTATCCTAACTTGAAAGAGTTCAAATAGCTTGGCGAGAGACTCGAGCAGCAAGTTGCTAGAAATTTTACCGACAGGGACAAGAAATGCATTGAACGTGCAGTGATAAATAAAGGTGATTGAAAAGCAGACTCAATTTAGTCAGGGTGTCATCGTGTTGGTACGTAACTTACCATCCATAGACGTCGTGACGAAACAATGCGAAAACATACAAAACTAGCAGAGGGAAGAAGAAAAAGAACAAAACGAAGCCATCCGAAACGAGACTATACGAAATCAACTCCACGTGGGAATAGAATGATAAATTTTTGCAACCGCGTGCATTTCGTGTTCTGTAATACCTTGCAAACACCCTCGTTTTTCGTGTTCTATAATCCCTTTGGTTAGTACCTAAAGGTAGAGCAGTGAATGATGAACTTACCCACGGCGACGACGAAAATTAAACTGAAACGCACGGAGATCTGCATCTTTGCTTCTCCTTTGAAAATGAGCTGTCGAGAGAAAGCTAGGTCCTATTATATTTATGAAAACCGTTTGCTTTACCGACTTTTCCGCTTTTTTCTCGGTGACGTCAGCTGAAAGTCCGGATATGCCTTATTGAAGACCTGAATAAATTGTTGGCGACATCAAATGTCCTCAGCTAAATATGTTGGGTCGCAGTGATGGGGAACCAGCTGCTGACCGAAACTCGCTTGGCAATAGGTACCAAAACTCTTAAACTGTCTTTCTACCCTGTCTGATGAGTTTAAAACTTTTTCACGTCGCAATTTCGAAGGTTCGTATACCGCTGTCAGAGCCACTGATATCGACATTGGAAATATTTAAGTTTATACAAGAAGCTCAGTTATGCACGCATGCTGATTGGCTCTCACTCATGATCTATTGGAGGACAGACATATAGATGACGTCATTATTAAAACCTTTTTTTAATTCTTTATTCTATAAAACAAATAGATTCCAAGTTGCCGTGCGTCTGTTCAGTAATAGATCACAGAGGACGTCAAAATGTGGTAAGAATAAAAAGTTTATTACTGCGCGATTGCCGATCTCTTCTAAAGCTAGATGGAAACTTCGTTTTTAGTTCTATTAGGGTTGTTGTCAGCTCATTTGAGATTTCTTGAAATTCTTCCTGTGGTACCCTGATTCGTTCTTTAGCTTCATGAAAATATATCAAAGGTATATATGTAAAGGAATTTTCGCTCACTGTCGATGAATAACAACGAAGTTGCTACGAAAATCCAGGTGTCATCTACAGTGGCCAAGCAGGACTCACACTTGACAAAGTCATCGTTTCTCTTGCAACCATCCACGCCTGCCGCCTAATTTTGTAGCATTTTGACCTACACCTTACTTCTCGTTTCTCAGAATATCGTTTTGCTTATCTGACAGATCTTTTATTTCGTGTTTAACTGCCTCCACATTTTTTGTTGTTCAAGGGGATACCATTTGAATCCACCATCTTTACTACTAAAAATAGATTCGTACTCTGCTTAATAGCACTGTTGTAAAACTTTAGCTCATCGATTTGTGGGTTAGGAAGTTGATAGTAACACTGGCTCTTCGAAGTGGTTGGGAAAAAAAGGGGGGGGGGTGGAGATCATGAAATCCTCCGCTGATAATATAGGGGAATCAAAGAAAAGCTATGTACTTTATGGAGGAGATTACGTAAATGCTCCTTTGTCGCAAAAAAAATCCTCCGCATATCCCCAACACGGTTATAAAACTTGACCGGTCCCTTACAAGTAAAAATCTCAGCCTAAGCCTTTTTTTTTGGGGGGGGGGGGAGGTGAAGGGGTTGGTTTGCAGTAAAAGTCCAGTTACCAAAGGACTAATAAGTTTCACGTAGTTAGTCTAGAGAAGTATTTGCTGGGTTGGGGAGGGGGAGGGGGGCTGGGTGGCGCGTGGGTGAGTTGTAATAACAAAGAAACACTTTGTTTTCTTATTAATTTCCTTTATTCAAAATATCATTAACGTACATGGCTCAGCGTAAAATCTAATACGACCATTGTGAAAACAAATTAGTTTAATCGGTTTGCTGAAAAAAGAATGTGTTTTTTAGACTTATTTTAATTTTCATGATCTTTGAGTTTTACAATGCTTTTATAAAATGTGGTCGCTCAAGCAGTTAAGATACAAAAACCAACTACTAAAAGGAAATATTCAGACTCAAGATGAGCTTACAGTTAATTCAAATGCTTCGTTTACAATCAAACTTGACTAAAAGTGTTAACAAACTGGAATAAAATGTTGAAGAGGGAAACCTCTTCAACGGTTGAAAAAGAAACAAATGGACATGAAAACTAACAACAGCGCCTGCATTACACCAGGTTTAATGCCAGCAGCTGCATTAATGCCAGCAGCTGCATTAATGCCAGCAGCTGCATTAATGCCAGCGGGTCCACTGATGTCTTCCACACCATAGCACTGATCATTTCCGGTCGCCCCAGGGTCTCGATTGTTTGCACAGAAAGGATTGTAGTCAGCGAGGCCCATGTCAAACATTTCTCTCTCAGTAGAGGAAAAGGTGCAGTTAGAATTGATCAGATTCTTCAGACACTTCTTCTCCTTGGCTCCCTCCCTGAAACAATGAAAGTTAACAAAATCATTCTACGTATACCTGTTTCCCTCGCTGTGCAATGTTGGATCTGAGACTATATTGATTTCGAGCTATTTCGGTTTACAAAGCCGAGCCAACTCTGATCGGTAAAACTTGCGTCACCCTCTTAACGCGGCTTGGTCATTAGCATTTTCTTGCGCATGCGTTTTAGACAGTTTACTGGATTTACATAAAGTACCTTCTTAATCTGTCGGTTAATTCCGTTACTATTAGCAATGATCATAATATTTCTGTTTTTATTTTCTGCTCTTGTCAATCAAGGAGCATTTTTATTTGTCCTTTACCTGTTCCAAATTTTTTTAATTTCCAATATTATCTTTTTTCGCGGAGCTTTAAATTGAAAGAAATATGGTAGATTTAAATGTCTTCTAAAGTTAACAATACGTAAAGTCAAGGCTGTTTTAACACGCTCGGGTAAAAAAGGAACTGGGAATAACGGTTTCAGGAAAAGAATTTGCTAAACTTTTACGTCTGTTCCCAAATATAATGTTATTTCTCAATTTGTCGGGGAGGGAACATTCTTGAGACAAGAATGTGAAATTGTTCTTTGTTCCACAACCGCGCCCTAATCAATCATTTCCGTTAATTTATTAATGTTTAACAAACAAGTGCAAATACATTCTGAGTAAACCCACGGCATCACGGAATCTCTTTAATTTGTTTTAAATCACAAAGAAGGATAGTTGATAACGTTGACGTCATCCATGCGTTTACATCATAAGTAACAACCAATCAGAATGCGTGTATGATTCGACTTAATGTATAAAAACAAATGGTCTACGCAAACTCACGTGCAAAGAGAGGAACTCGATTTGTCCGCGAGGTATATTTGCCGGAAGGTCTTTCCACAGGCGTTTGCTTCAGTGACGAAAGAGCTGGAACAAGGCAATAATGCCGCTGACGAGGACGGTATTAGAGCGGGGCCTTCAGAACATTCTTTGCTGTCAAAACTCTTGTCTACAGTTCCTCTGATGGTGCTGTCTGTCAGTGAGTCAGCACAATATTTCATCACCTTCACCACACAGCCTTTCATTTGGTTGAACTTAGCACTGGAGTGAAAACAAGATAGTCACCGAGTTAAAGCAGTTTTTAGGTGTGAGTCTATTATAATCCATGAACAGAACAGGGGACCTGGCAGATACCGCAGTATTGCGTTACAGTTGGATGACCTGTCGTACAAAACACCTCAAAGTTTAGTTAACTTACAAACAGTCTCCTTTGGGGTCCCTTTGTAGTCCTTTATAGAAAAATGTGGCGCATTTTCGAGCAGCGCAAAAGTACTCCATGAAAGTACATTGGCCAAAGTTAGGGAGTGCCCCATGACTTCCAACGAGAAACGCTGTAAGAGCAATGATTGACAGAAATCAATAAACCAGTGAGCCATTTGTTATGAGAGTGATTTTTATGAATGTAAAGTAATTAATTAGGATGGAATATAACGCTCTAGATTATTATCACACAAATATTGTAAAAACCGGAAGTATTAAGAGGGTAGGGGTGGAGGAACTCATCATCGAGGTAGAAATCTTTGAACTAATCCCATGACAAAAATAGTTTATGGATCTGTTCCCTCTTTCCCATTCGCGGCTAATCACACAAGTTTCACTTTCGGACCAGAAACTAACGCTCGTGCAGCATAAAATCTCCCAGCCCAAATATCTTGTCTTTGTTCTTTTCACTAACGGTTCCTTTGTCATCTTGTAAGACTTTTTCGCAAAGTAACTATCTTCATACACGTGCATTGTCAAAAATCGGTCTCAAACATAATGAAAAATTTTGAGATTGCATTGAAGTGTTGTGCTCGTGCTGAGAAATATACAGAATCCAAATTAGGATGTTTAGGAAGAACAACGTGTTTGACTTGGGTTGCGATGAACTGCCCAGCCTCCCTCCCCTCTTCCTGCCTTCTTCTTTGTCCAAACGCTTCGCTTCCTCTGGGAAGTAATTTTACTCTTTAACACGACGAGCCAGGAGGCGGATGTTATTAACCAAGCAAGTAGTTCAAATACAGAATATTTACCAATGAGCCGTAACAACGTGGACTATATCACGCGGGTCATTTTATGTTAACGTTAGGGTCAAACTAACAAGGTTTGTTTGTAACAGTGAAAGATAAGCGATGAAGCTGAAAGCACAATTTGAACGTGTATCAAAGCACGTAAAGGGAATAACCCACTTTTGCGCTGGGTGAGTAATATTACTTCTTAAGACCTCCACTTGGAAGGTCTTAGCCAGTAATATTACTCTTTATCCGTCGTTGAACAAGCATGCAGACATGGTACAAGATGTTTGCGTCAATACAGGATATTGTGCTCTACATCACGTGGATCGCTTTCAGGTCCGTGATTTGTATGAGAAACGAAAGACATTTTCGGAACAGGAAAAGACAGACAAAGAAATTTAAAATACATTTGTTTATCTTAACATTAGAACAAAACTGAACATACAATGCAAATTAACCTCCTCAATCAGACTATCAATGATGATGAAATAGTTTCTCGCTGAATACATTTTTTCTACGATCGTATTAGTGCACAGGACACGTGGAAACAATAAATATAAAATGTTTCATTTTGCCATCATTTTCGTCCTTTGGTTTGTAGTGGTAGGGTAAGATGTTTGAAGCCTCGTCGGAAAAAAACAAAAGAAGTTCAGATCTTTATCAGTTACGCAAAACAGCATGAAAATTACCCACTTTAATTCTGGGGTCAGTATACGAACACGTATCTTCTCTTCCATGCTATACAGTCGACGTTGTATCTGTGTAACAGCCTAAGATCGCCGTATGTCTTTCCTTAAACGACAAGTGGCTTTGACCCTGTTGCATGTGCGCTACAGAAGAGCGCTAGCTCAAGTCATCAGTTTGAGAAGATGCCTGCTAGCGTTAAGGTATTAAACGCTCTGGTTTGTTATCACGCAAATATTGCAAAAGCCGGGAACATTAAGGGGGTAGGTGTAGGGGAAATCATCATCGAGGGAGTAGAAATCTTTGAAGCAATCCCCTGACAAAAATAGTTTATGAATCTGTTCCCCCCTCCCATTCGCGCCTAAACACACAAGTTTCACTTTCGGACCGGAAACTAACGCTCGTGCGGCATAAAATATCTGAGACCAAATATACTGTCTCGCGTTCTTTTCAGCAACAGTTCCTTTGTCATCTGGTAAGACTTCATATGTTTCACAAAGTAACTATCCTCATACACATGCATTGTCAAAACTCGGTCACGAACATATTGAACAATTTTGAGATTGCATTGAAGTTTAATCCGCGTACCGAGAAATGTACAGAATCCACATTAGGATGTTTGAGAAGAAGCACGTGTTTGACTTGGATGGCACTGCCCAGCTTCCCAACTCCCCCCCCCCCTTTTCCTTCCTTCTTCTTTGTCCAAAACGCTTCGACGCCTCTGAGAAGTAATTTTACTCGTCAATATGACGAGGAAGGCAGCGGATGTTACTACCCAAGCAAGTAGTTCAAGTAGAGAAAATTTGCCAATGAGCCGTAACAACGTGGACTATATCACGCGGGTCGTTCTATGTTAACATTAGGGTCAAATTAGCAAGGTATGTTTGTAACAGTGAGTCGAAGTGAAAGATACTTGATGAAGTTGAAAACACAATTTGTACGTGTATTAAAGCTTACTTCCGTCCTGAGACCTCCACTTGGAAAGTCTTAGCTAGTAATATTACTTTTTATCCGTCATTGAACAAGCATGCGGACATGGTACAAGATATTGTGCAATACAGGTTATTGTGCTCTACACTACGTGATCGCTTTCAGGTCTATGATTTGTATGAGAAACGAAAGGCATCTCCGGAACAGAAAAAGACAGAAAAAGAAATTTAAATTACAAATTTTTACAACTTAACATTAGAACAAAACTGAACATACAATGCAATTTAGCTTCCTCAAACAGACTGACAATGATGATGAAATAGTCTCTTCCTGAATACATTTTTTTATGATCCTATTAGTGCACAGGACGCGTGGAAACAATAAGCATAAAATATAACATTTTACCATCACTTCAGTACCTCATCAGTGCACTGATTGGCTTGCTGTGATGAAGTACGATGTTTGAAACCTCGTCGGAGAATACAAAAGAAGTTCAGATCTTTATCAGTTACGCATAATAGTGATATCAGCCCAGGAATATCAGAAACGAAATTTATGGTCTCAGACACTTCTTTTGTTCAGTGAAAATTATCATTGAAGAATTTATCTGAATTTTTATTTCCTTCCCGCCTCGATTGGCTTCGCTATTTTGCGGGAGGGATATGTATTTTACTTGCAAAAGTTAATAAATTTTGTTGATTGGGTCGTATATTCGTGTCATATTATTGTATAGAAAGTAATATTACAATGCAGCCAACGCCTTCTTTTCCTCGCTCGATTCCAACTATTATCAAAGTATCTTAACAAATGCTTCTCTCGCCTTGTGTCGCTGATCGGCAAGTACGCTAAGATGCAGGTACTACCCTAACTTGAAAGAATTCAAATAGTTTGGGGAGAGACTCGAGCAGCAAGTTGCTGGAAATTTTACCGACAGGGACAAGAAATGCATTGAACGTGCCGTGATAAATAAAGGTAATTGAAAAGCAGACGCAATGTAGTCAGGTTGTCATCGTGTTGGTCCGTAACTTACCATCCAAAGATGTCGCGACGAAACAATGCGAAAACATACAAAACTAGCAAAGGGAAGAAGAAAAAGAACAAAACGAAGCCATCCGAAACGAGACTATACGAAATCAACTCCACGTGGGAATAGAATGATAAATTTTTGCAACCGCGTGCATTTCGTGTTCTGTAATAGCTTGCAAACACCCTCGTTTCTCATGTTCTATAATCCCTTTGAAAGGTAGAGTAGTGAATGATGAACTTACCCACGGCGACGACGAAAATTAAACTGAAACGCACAGAGATCTGCATCTTTGCTGCTCCTTTGCAAATGAACTGTCGAGAGAAAGCTAGGTCCTATTGTAATTATGAAAACCGTTAGCTTCACAGATTTTTTCGCTTTTTTCTCGGTGACGTCAGCTGAAGGTCTGGGCATGCCTGATTACATGAGCAAGGCTGGCCCGGTTGACCAGACTCCAACTATGATACAGTGATATGATTACAAGAAAATTGAAGACCAGAATGAATTGTTGGCAACATCAAATGTCCTTAACTAAATATGTTGGGTCGTAGTGTTGGGGAACCAGCTGCCCACCGAAACTCCCTTTGCAATGGATACCAAAACTCTTAACCTGTCTTTCTACCCTATCTGATGAGTCTAAAAAGGTTCGAAGGTTCGTATATCGCTGTCAGAGCCACTGATATCGATAGTGGAAATATTTAAGTAAAGAATTGATGTTTAACGTAAATGCGTTGTATTAGTTCTGTTCCTAAAACATTTCATTTTCGGATAATTATCCACGAAAGTGCAACATATGACGAAAATAAAAGAAACCAAGTACATATCAATTCCAAGTTTATTGTCACAATAATCAAAGGGTAGCAAAGAAACGTAGCGACGACATTAATTAAAAATATTCGCATGATATGGTGGGCGTCGAAATAAAAGGCAATTAAGAAAAAAAACTTTATGTAACTTACATTGTACATACCGAGATCGAAACTAACTGGGAATTACTCCAAATAAAACCGATAATCAGAGTAACAATAAATCGTGCAAACAAGTTGTACCAAGTTAAAGTTGACTTATTTTGGTTTAGCTCCGATCGAGTTAACGTAAGAAGCTCGCAATCGTTTATTTAACCGGCCATGTCTGACTTGGAGATTGTGGCGGCGGCAGGGGGAGTGAGCGGGGAAAGGCGATAATATAATAAATAATCAGCAAATAATCACTGACTGCTTAAACGAATTGTGAGAGTCTTTAAACGTTACAATTGTTTAAAATACAATTTCAACTGCCCAAATACGCAGAAAGTCGCTGTCTAATTTTTAAAATACCAATGTCGCTGTCGATTTCACTTTTCGCTTTGTCGCTGTTGTAATATCGCGTAAGCGGCTCGTCGTTCGTCGTTATTTCAGCTCCTTCACGTGGCCGTTTGTGGTCTTTCATTGCCTTGT